CCCAATAAACCAACAAACACAGAAGACAAACAGAAAATCAGACAGAAAGCAACAAAAGATATTAAGACATCAAGACAAAAAATGCTAGGAGTAAATCAACACCTTTCAATAATAACTCTAAATGTAAAAGGATTAAATCCCCCACTCAAAAGACACAGACTGACTGGGTTAAAAAGATGGCCCCAATGACATGCTGCTTTTAAGAGACTCACCTTACCTGTAAAGACACACACAGACTAAGAGTGAAAGGATGGAAAAAGATATATCATGCAAAAAGAAATGAAAAATGAGCTGTAGTAGCTATTCTTGTATCAGGTAAAATAGACTTTAAAACAAAAACCATAAAAAGAGATAAAGAAGGACACTACATAATGATAAAAGGATCTATCCATCAAGAAGACGTAACAATCATAAATATATACACACCCAATATCGGAGCAGCCAGATTTATAAAGCAAATACTATTAGACCTAAAGAATGAAATAGTCACTAATACCATAATAGCAGGAGACCTGAACACCCCACTCTCAACATTGGACAGATCATCTAGGCAAAAAATCAATAGAGAAACACAAGATCTAAACAATACTTTAGACCACCAACTGGACTTGGCAGATATCTATAGAACATTCCATCCAACAACCTCAGAATAGTCATTCTTTTCATCAGCACATGGAACATTCTCCAGGATAGACCACATGTTAGCTACAAATCAAGTCTCAAAGAATTTTTTAAAAACTGGAATTATTCCATGTATTTTTTCAGATCAAAATGGATTAAAACTAGAAATCAATTACAAACAAAACTCTGGAAACTACACAACACATGGAAATTAAACAGCATTCTACTTAATAACATGTGGGTCCAAGAAGAAATTAAACATGAAATCAAAAAATTTCTTGAAACTAATGAAAATAATGACACATCATACCAAAACCTGTGGAATACTGCAAAAGCAGCCCTAAGGGGGAAACTAATCTCATTAAATGCTCACCTCAGAAGAATGGAAAGATGTCAAATAAACAATCTACCACTTCACCTTAAAGAACTAGAAAAACAGGAATGATCCAAACCCAAAGTTAGCAGACGGACAGAAATAATTAAGATCAGAGCAGAAATACATGAAATAAAAACCCAAAAAATGATATAAAAGATCAATGAAACAAAAAGTTGGTTTTGAAAAGATAAATATAATTGACAACCCATTAGCAAGGCTAACTAAAAAAAGAAAAGAGAAGACCCAAATAACAAAAATTAGAAATGAAAAAGATGATATTACAACTGATACTTCAGAAATACAAGGAATCATTAGAGACTACTATAAACAACCATATACCAACAAATTTGAAAACCTGGAGGAATTGGATAAATTTCTGTATGCACACAAACTACCAAAACTGAGCCAAGAAGATATAGAAAATCTGAACAGAAAAATAACAATAAAAGAGATTGAAGCTGTTATCAGAAGTCTCCCAACAAAGAACAGCGCAGGACTGGATGGGTTCACTGGAGAATTCTACCAAACCTTCAGAGAAGAATTGATATGAATTCTCTACGAATTATTCCAAAAGACTAAAACAGAGGCCATTCTCCCAAACTCATTCTATGAGGCAAACAAACATTACCCTGATACCAAAACCAGATAAAGATACAACAAGTAAAGAACTACAGGCCAATATCCTTGATGAATGTAGATGAAAAAGTCCTCAATAAAATGCTAGCTAACAGAATACAGCAACACATACACAAAATTATACACCATGATCAAGGGGGATTCATCCCAGGGATGCAAGGTTGGTTCAACATATGCAAATCAATAAATGTGATATACCACATCAATAAAATCAAAGACAAAAACCATATGATCATCTCTATAGATGCTGAAAAAGCATTTGACAAAATTCAACATTCGTTCATGACAAAGACTCTCTACAAATTAGGTATAGACAGAAAGTACCTCAAAACAATTAAAGCCATATCTGATAAGCCCACTGCCAATATCATCCTGAAAAGCCTCTACAAAATAACTCTTAGGGTTGATAAATGATTTCAGCAAAGTTGCAGGATACAAAATTGACACACAAAAATCAGTAGCATTTCTACACTCCAACAGTGAACATGCAGAAAAAGAAATCAAGAAAGTTAGCCCATTTACAATAGCCACCAAAAATATAAAACAGTTAGGAATAAAGTTAGCCAAGGATATGAAAAATCTCTATGATGAAAACTACAAACCACTGTTGAGAGAAATTAAAGAGGACACAAGAAGATGGAATGATATTCCATGCTCTTGGATTAGAAGAATTAACACTGTGAAAATGTCCATAGTACCCAAAGTTATCTATAGATTCAATGCAATCCCCATCAAAATTCCAATAACATTTTTCTCAGAAATGGAAAAAACTATCTTGACATTTATATGGAATAACAAAAGACTGTGAATAGCTAAAACAATCCTGAGCAAAAAAAAATAAAGTTGGGGACATAACACTACCTGACTTTAAACTATACTACAAAGCTATAATAACCAAAACAGCATAATACTGGCATAAAAACAGACACACGGATCAACAGAATACAATAGAGAATCCTGAAATCAACCCATACTCCTACAGCCATCTGAACTTTGACAAAGCCTTCAAGTCTACACACTGGGGAAGAGACTGCCTCTTCAGCAAATGGTGCTGGGAAAACTGTATATTCATATGTAGGAGAATGAAACTAGACCCGTACCTCTCATCATCTACCAAAATCAACTCAAAATGGATTAAAGAATTAAATGTACATCCTGAAACAATAAAACTCCTTAAAGAAAACATAGGGGAAACACTCTAGGAAGTAGGATTGGGTACAGAATTCATGAATATGATTCCAAAAACACAGGTAACCAAAGGAAAAATAAACAAATGGGATTATATCAAACTAAATAGCTTCTGCACAGAAAAAGAAACAACAGAGTGAAAAGACAACCAACAGAGTGGGAGAAAATATGTGCAAAATATACATCTGACAAAGGATTAATATCCAGATTATACAAGGAACTCAAACAACTTTATGGCAAAAAAACAAATAACCCAATTAAAAGATGAGCAAAGGAGCTGAACAGGCATTTCTCAAAGGAAGATATACAAATGGCCAACAGACACATGAAAAAATGCTCACCATCACTCAGCATTCGGGAAATTCAAATCAAAATCACTCTGAGAGACCATCTCACTCCAGTTAGGATGGCTAATATCCAAAAGACTGAGAATGATAAATGCTGGTGGGGCTGCGGAGAAAAAGGAACTCTTATACACTTGGTGGGACTGCAAAATGGTGTCCTTTATAGAAAATGGTATGGAGGTTCCTCAAACAATTACAGATAGATCTACCATATGACCCAGCTATCCCACTGGTGGGAATATACCCAGAGGAATGGAAATCATCATGTTGAAGGGATACCCACACTCCTGTGTTTACTGCAGCACTATTTACAATAGCCAAGAATTGGAACCAGCCCAAATGTCCATCATCAGATGAGTGGATAAGGAAAATGTGGTATATCTACACAATGGAATACTACTCTGCTATAAAAAAGAATGAAATACTACCATTCGCAGCAACATGGAGGAACTTAGAGAAAATTATAGTAAGTGAAACAAGTCAGGCACAGAAAGAGAAATACCACATGTTCTCACTTATTTGTGGGAGCAAAAATAAATAAATAAATATACAAACAAATAAACAGTGGGGGGGAAGAAGACACAACAATCACAACAATTCTTCTAACTTGTTATGACAAGTGAACAGATATGATGTTGATGGAGGAGAGTGGGGAGAGAAAGGAAGGAAAGAGGAACTGGTAAAGGGACACGAAAATCAACCACATTGTATATTGATAAGTTAAAATAAAACAAATAAAATAGTCTTACATGTGAACAAAATATTCCAACAAGATCCTCATTTTACTTTGAGCTGTTCCACAAAACAACTTTCTATGACAAACTAAGTTTGGAAAACTCATATAACATAGCTTCACCTTAGAGATACTTAATCATATTAACATATTAAAAGGCCCTGGGAAACCCAGAAAAAAAAATAAAGTGAACAGAAAGCCCTAAAAACTCAGATCCTAATCAAGCCTAATTTAAAAGTAAGGGTCTCTCAGCCTCAATTTCCTCAGTTGTGAGTTTAAGGAGTTACTCATTCAACGTTGGTTGAATGTCTTCTATGTGCCAAACACTGTGTTAGCAATGGAAGTTTGTTATTTGGTTACATGGTCCTTACCCTTGAAAAGCTCCTAATCTTGTGAAGAGACAAATAAATACAACATGACAATTGCTATGAACATATTGCTATGCCTACACACATCCAAAAAGGCTGCAGAGAGGACAATCAGTTGAACCGAAACTTGTTAGTTGGAAATGGAGATTAAGGGTATTTCTTGAAGAAAGAAAGGGCAGAAAAAAGAGGTTTAATGTAGATGATGCACAGGCTGGGTGTCAGAGAAAACTGGCAGGAGATTAACTTAGAGCCTTAAATGTCACACGAAGGAATGTGACCTCTAAGCAGCGATAAGTCACTTAAACATTATTGGCAAAGTTCTATCTACACTAAGATTCTGGAAATTGGCTGTAGTCCCAACCAAATGATTCCAATTTCTCTAGCATTTCATTTGAAATTATTAGAGTCTCTTCAAACAAAAAAGCAAAAGTAGCCAAGTTCTGATGCTGATATTATGAAACCTAAAAGACCTCTCTTCACTAATAAATTTTAGGACTATCAGTAGACTTCTATTGTTATTATTACAGTAGTAAAGCATTCTAAAAGCAAGATATATGATAAGTGATTTACTTCTGCTCTTAATCAAATACAAACTATGCAAAACCATAGAGGTGTTAAAATCATAAACAGATATTAAATTTACATGCTCCCCAAAATGCTTTGTTCAAATAAAGCTTTACTCTGAACATCAATTAATTAGAAGTACCTAAAGAGATATCTAAACTGTCATTTACCTGTGTTCTGCAGGAACAGGTGGCGGCCAAACAGCAGGATCTCTAAATGGTTCATCTTGACAAGACACAGGGAAATCTGGGGGCCTGTCGATTTTAAAACTTTCTAAAGTGCTGACAATACTTTTAACTTGTTCATATTCTTCCAATAATTCCTGCCGAACCTTAAAAGAAAATAGCCTTTATGCTATAAACTGTTTAATGATTTTATAAGTTGTAAATAATAAATTGCTACAGAATGCCATTTTTTCAATATCATTGAAAGTATTCAAAATGAATCACTAAAGCATAATCAAAAACACAAAGCTTTTAAAGTAACAGAAAGAGAAAGGCAGGGATGGATTTGAAAAAAGACATGATCAATATACCTTTTCATAAGGTAAGCAGTTATATATCTTTCATAATGGAACATTGTTTCTACCAAAGAAAGTGATGATCATTAATACAATTTAAAACAAGCAACTAAGTTGGTAACAAGTTAACAATTACCAGAAATCTATAATGTTATGCTAAATCTTTGTAATATATCTGTAAATAAATTCCAAAAAATTGTCTGCCAAAATTTTTATGAACACTTCCTGTCTCCAATTTCACTAAATATGAAATGCCTGTCATGAATGTCTGAAAGCCTGAAGCGGTCTAATACTATGAATTACACACTTCCAATTTTTATTTAAATTCTTCACCTAAAATCTGAATTTTTCTGACCTTGTTTAAATTTTCAAGTCCTGGGTAAAGTTTACTTTGAGTCCAAAGGCAAGATTTTTCCTATATTTAAGAAATTTAACTGAGCACCTAATATGTGGAAATTCCTACGTTTTCAAATTCTGAACTCAAACCAATCTTCAAAAGCAAACAGATGAAGATTAAAAATTACATTTATAAATTCATCTTAGAAATTCTAATATTTTTTAACAAGAAAACACATCTCACTGTAAAGCAGAGCATAAGAAACTTTCCCTTATCTTTATCTTGAATAATATAATAAAAGGAACATATGAAGGAGTTACAGAACCAAAGAAAAATCTAGATAAAATTCAAATGCTAATATATGCAATTATTCATACATAATATGCTATACCAGGAGAAATAAAATTTCAGAACCCAACGGAAAGAAACACAGTAGAAATATCTAAATAGAAATTATTACTATTTAACATACAATTAAGAATATGTCAAAAATATTCCCATGATAGATTAATAAACCACCCTGCATGTGGCTAGCACTAAAAATAGAAGAAAACAACTAAAAATTTCAGCCTGAGTTAGAGCAAGTATGTTGTTTTCACTTAACATAACTTGGTAACACTTAAGTTGGAAAATAAACTAAATTTACCCTCAAAACTTAGTAAAATATCAATTTCTTATGACTGGAAAAATTACAAGAAACACTTGAAAGGCATTAGTACATAAAATAAAAACGTCAAAGAAATGTTTGACTTTGTACTCAATTTTAAAAGAATTTTAAGTTTTAACAATAAGTGGGAAGTGCTCTCTCTGGTAGCACATACACAAAAATTGGAAAAGTAAGAGAAGATTAGTGTGGATGACACACAAACTCATGAAGTATTTCATATATTTTGACTTAAAATTTTCTAAAAAGTACAGTATCTTGTTTTAGTTTACAACAGGTAAAAAATACAAACTATTAATAAACCCTTATAAAACAAAAGACAATTTTATTTAACTTAAAGACAGATGGTTTTATTTAATTATTTTCTTAAAGAAAAACATTGCTTATAACTACTATTTGTAAAAAAAATTTTTTTTAAAGTTGCAATGAATTTGGAATTGGGGTACTGGAACAAGAATTATGTTAAAAGATACTGATCAATTAAAACATTAAATTAAATAATAAAATAATATTAAAATTATTTTAATTAAAATTTAATTAATTTTATTAATAATAAAAAATAATAAAAAATGGAGTAGGGAAATAATTCAAGTTTTTGTACTATTACATAATCAAGTTGTATAGTCAAAAGACAACAAACATATTCATGTTATTTATTAGATTACTGACTCATTTGTATTTGTAAGGAGTCTTTCAAAAGATGAGGAAAATTTCTTAAGGGAAAAATTTTATGAAATGGGTTAAAAATACATGTAAATATAAAAGGGGAAAGGGCAAGTAAGACCTTAGTTCAAAACTTTGTAGTTACACAAATTTTAAATGTAATTTATAAATTACATTTTAGGTAATCAATCACGAAAATTGTTTTAAAAATTAAAAGTACATTCAATTACATTCAATTAAAATTTAATATCTTCGAAATATACCTCATGAAGTATATGATCAAAAATACAAAAAACTAACTAGTCAAGACATAATAAAATTATTCAGAGTACATTTTAAATATGTTTTAGTATTCAAATAACTACAAAATCTCAAAGTAATTTTCCAATTCTAATTTCTCAAGTATAATAGACGACTGATGCCCTCATTTATATAATATGTCAATGTGATCTCACCTGTTGCCATTTGCCTTTGATAGCCGGGTCTCTGACTGACTGGCAATGTCTCTGAATCTGCTGTATCACCCCCTGGTAGTACACCATTGATGAGTCATAATTTCCAAGAAGTGCATATTCTCTTCCTTTCTTTGCATTGTCACAAATCTCAGCCAAATTCATTTTCTTTTAGAGACCTAATACATAAAATATAATGGCTTTTTAAAAAAGTTTTCAGCACCAACTTTAAAACATTTTTTATTATTCTTTAAAATATCTGCTTAAAAGTCAAAATAATTATCTTTCATTCTTTGAGGTTATCTGAATGCATCTTATAATACTGAACAAATTTTCCAATTTCGTAAATACAAAAGAGATCACAAGAAAACAGCACAGAGATAGTAGGGAGAGGAGTTATACAGCTCTAAACTAGTGATTTATTTACAGGTACGCAAACTGAACACTAGTTTTCCTTGCTCATTTGTAATTACCAGAAACTGCAATAATTGTAAAGATGACCTTACTGTGTTTTATTCAATTTATTCTTGACAAGATAGAAATATATGAATACCATAAAAATATAAATATGTTATATTTTCTAGGGACATCAGTTAAAACTGCAGAAATTACTTCTCACTAAAACTTTTGGCCCCAAGAATAAAAAGTCATACTTAAGGAACACATTTTAAAGGAACAGTCTAGAGCTGTCCATTCATCTTTTAATTTAACATTTAATTAAATTTAAATTAATTTTTTTGTGTGTGTGTGACCGGTAAGGGGATCGCAACCCTTGGTGTGGTGTTGCCCGCACTGCGCTCAGCCAGTGAGCGCTCCAGCCATCCCTATATAGGATCCGAACCCGCGGCGGGAGCGCCGCTACGCACCCAAGCGCCGCACTCTTCCGAGTGTGCCACAGGGCCGGCCCAAATTTAAATTAAATTTAAACATTTAATTGCTCCATACAACTTAACTCTAAACAAAAACCTGTGAATTAAACTATCTGAGCCTATTTTGCTTTTCAACTTCTAACCTTTTACGATCCTGTCATTCTCCATAGCTTTCCAGCTGTGCAAAAAACTATCATTAATCTTTTCCTCTCTATAAGATGCCAGGAAGAATACCCTCTGAACCTCTGGTTTCCACCAAAGTCCTCCAGCCCAGTAATTCTGGCTTTTCTTCCAGGCCTTCCAAAAGTCTCCTAGAATCATCCAAGGCTTCTATGCAAAGATACTTTCCTCCCAAAACTATAAGGAATATGAAATACTAAGATACAGCAGAAAGATATGCTGGAAAAGAGTCCAAATTGCCCTACTCTGACTTTCTGGAACAGTAAACCAATGAATACATTTAGTGGAGAAAATCAAAATACTTTTCTCTGCCTTTCTGAGGGAATTAAATTTTGGTTTGGGTAACGTGACTCTTCCTGACTCTGAATCTCTTATCTGTTCTTAAGGCGCTCAAAAATTCTTCCTCAAAATTAACGATAACTAAATGTAGGCATTTCAACTGACTTCAGTACATTCTTGAAACGAAGGCTGTTCCCTTTATGTGGCTTGACATATTATTTGCCCCTTATTCCAATATAGGTTCCTTGAAGGCAGCATTATGTTACTTGAGAATCACTCTGCAGCAAACAGTAAGCTAATTTTACACAGTAAGAAATTTCAGTGTTCAGTAGATCTATTCACAAAATACAGGATAACCATGCAAAGCCTCTTCTTCAAATCTGGAACATTAACACAAAACAATATGGTCTTAGTACAGTGAATAAGCTGCAATTAATTAATCCAGCAGAAACAAAGCTACTCCATAAAGTATTTTCTTTAGGTTGCTGTGAGACAAAAGCATTAATTCTGCTAGTAAGTACAGGTACACAACTATACAGGATAAAAATATCTTGATGTAAAGTAGGGGTTGGCAAACTTTTTTCTGTAAAGGGCCACACAGTAAATAGTTTAGGCTGTGAGGGCTAAAAAGCAAACTGGAAGACATTATATAGGTACTAATATAATGAGACATTTTCTATAATTTTTACTGATCAAATTCAAAATATTATAGTAATTGTTGTAACAGAGTACAATTTTCTGTAAGCCAGGACTACTAATGAGAAGAGTGGACAATTTTTCACTTAGTTGGGATTCAGAGTTAGTGTTCCCTATCATCAAAATCAATTACAAATGTTGGCATGTTATTAATGCAAATTAGACATGTTATTGAAATATTTAGTAAGATTTTACATATATCATCTTAGCAAATGTCTTTTTTCAAAAAGTATCAGTTAAGTGCTGCCATATCCTGATATCAAGTCACAAGCATATGATTTCAATTCAGCATTTTCATTGTTTGGAAGGTACTTAAAGAATTTCTTCTTCTCTTAGTATTTGCCCTTTAGCATGTCATTACATTGCAGATTAATAACTTCCAATAAGAATTAGATGGAAGTGCAGAGTTAAATGGATTCTGTAACACAGAAATTTCCTTTGCACTTGCATCAAAATCTGAAAAACACTGCTGAAACTGTAGTTTGAGCTCAGAAAATATATCTTCTGCAACTCAGGGTGGGAATAGAGATCTCTCTTCCTTGTTTCAATTTTTGACAGCATAGAAAGCTATTATAAAAGAGCTTGATATTACTTGTGATTCAAACAGCATTAGTTGGCATCGAAATAACTTTACTGCAGTATTAGTTTTTAAATAAACAGTATTTTGCCTTGTAATTCGTGAAATTCATTTGTAATGAATCTCAGGTTGAATTCATTAACAAACATTATGGAGTCTGCAGGCAAAACTAATTTCTAAAGCCATTCAGTGTTCTAAATAATAGTGGTTGAGAGCAGTCCCTCTCATTCATAAAAATTTCGATTTCAGCCCTAAGCTCAAAAGTTTGCAATAAAACCTAACCACTACACTAAGCCATCAAAGAGCTGTGTGATATGGAACAAGTGAGGATATTCAGCTTCTATATCTGATGATATTTCATGGAGCTGACAATGGCTAAGTTCACAAGGGCAAATGCTGACACTACTGGTTCCAAAGAGCATAATGAATTCAAATATTTTCTGCAAAATACCTGCTAAGACATAAAACAGGTAATAACCATAGGCTTTAAACATCTTACATTTTCACAGCATTATATATCTGTCCACCTTAGCTTTTTTCTATTCTACACAAAATTTTACCACTATCAGTTATAATACATCTTAGTAGATTCCCTCTCAGATTGTATGGAATTAGTGTTTTCTTAACTTTTCGAAAATACTCATCTGTAGTTGTTCCACACACACTATTCATTAGGACTAATTCTTCAATAACTTCAAACTTAGCATTGTCTTCTCAAATAAATGACAACTGAGCAGTATTGGTAACATCTGTCAATTCATCAGGAGCCAAAGAAAACCACTCAAAATCATATAACATGTTTTTTAATTGATTATTGTTGTCTTCACCTCTTTAGACAACAGTTCTTGCCAAAAAGATACTAGCCTTAAGCAAGTTTATTTTCTCTGGACACAATTCTGTGCTTGCTGTGATCAAACACAATTTAGTTAACTTACCATCAGCAAATGATTTCTTTGCTTGGCTAACAAATGAGCCACTCAGAAATTTACTTTGGGTGCAGCCTCATTTTCTTTTTCTTTCTTTTCTTTCTTTTTTTTTTTTTCCCTGACCGGTAAGGGGATCACAACCCTCGGCATGGTGTTGTCTGCACCACGCTCAGCCAGTGATCGCACTGGCCATCCCTATATAGGATCCGAACCCACAGCCTTGGCGCTACCAGCACTGCACTCTCCCGAGTGAGCCACAAGGCCAGCCCTCTCATTTTCATTTTTTTTTTTTTTTGTCCTTTTTTGAGACCGGCTGCACCGCGCTCAGCCCGTGAGCGCTGTGAGCGCACCGGTCATCCCTATATAGGATCCGAACCCGCGGCGGGAGCGCTACTGCGCTCCCAGCGCTGCACTCTCCCGAGCGCGCCACGGGCTTGGCCCTTCATTTTTTAATTTTGTGAAGACATTCTACTGGAATAAGATACTCCTTTTTAAGTTTTCTAATTTTTTTGACTATTACTTTCCCGTGAGTTGTGAGTACTGTGATGAGTGCTTTGTCTGATAGTATAAATGTATACTGTATTTCTTTAGCACAGCTATAGTGTCACTGCATAATAAACACAATGTTTTGTCACCTAACTAAATAATCCATGCTCCATTGTGCTTTAAAAGTATAACATTTCAAGCCTATTTTTTTAATCTTTTCTAGTTTTGACATGATGGATATGCATTGATTATAAATAAACTATGATGGTACAATGATATACATAGCTCTTAAAACACTGATTACAGTGCACCAAGCAGCAGGGTAAAGGAATGAGAATACCATATGGTCTCTGTCACAACTAAACAGCCACAGACAATATGTAGATAACTAAGTGTGGTTGTGTTGCAATAAAACTTTATTTATGGACACCAAGATCTGAATTTTACTTAATGTCTAATGTGCCATAAAACAGTAATTGTCTTTGATTTTTTTCAACCATTTAAAAATGCAAAAAACCATTCATAGTTCATAGGCCATTCGTGAACAGGAAGTGGGCTGGATTTGGCCCCTGGATTATAGTTTGCTTACTCCTACTTTCAGCTTCTATCTTAAGAACCTGAGAATCTTAAGCAAATTAAGCCCAAAAGCAGCAGAAAGAAGGACATAAAGAGAAGAAATCAACAAAATAGTAAACAGAAAAACAATAAAAAATTTCAATGTAGCCAAAAGCAGGTTCTTTGGAAAGATCAATAAAATAAACCTCTAGTAAGGTTGACCAGGAAAGGGAGAGAAAACACAAATTACCAAAATCAGAAATGGAGGGCTATCACTACAAACCTTAGAGATATGAAAAGGCAAAAGAGGGCTTAATGAAATGAATAAATTCATGACAGTCACAACATACCAAAGCTTACTCAAGAAAAAATATGAGTAGCTAATCTGAAGTCCTACATTAATCAATGAAATTAAGATGTAATTTAAAACCTTCCCACAAAACAAGCAAGCAAACAAAAAACCACAAAACTATTCCAGACCCAAATGGTTGCACTAGTAAATTCTGCCAAGTATTTAAGGAAGAAATAAAACCAATTCTAAACAAACTCTCACAGAAAATAGAAGCGGTGGAAACACTTCCAACTCATATTTTAAGGCCAGCAATATCCTG